GGGCCGTTCGAACGGTCACGCGGCCGGGGCGAAAGCCGCTCCGGCCCCGCCCCTTCCGTTGCTATGGGAGCGCCCGGGCGGAGGCCTCGCCTCGCTTCCCAGCCGCGCCGCCCCCCGAGCCGAGCCCGCGGCAGCCCGAGGGCGGCCTGAGCCCGCGCGGGAGCGGCGGTGGGCACGGCGTGGCAGCGCCCCGAGCGCGGGCGGCGGGCCGTGAAGGGAGCCGCCCGGGGAGCTGTGAAGGTTTCAGACAGAGAGGGTTTCGGGGACGTCGCTTTGGAACGGAGGAGCGCCCGGCTTTACGAAGCCGGGTTTTCTCAGCGCTATTGCGATTCTGCGTGGGGCTGTTACAGATGTGCACGTACACGGCATTACCTTCGGATCCCTGCCGCTCCGAGGCTCCCTTACCTGCACGGCCACGCTGCGCTGTGAGCAACGCGCTCCCGCTGCGAGCTGTGATGGTGCTTCCACGACGCTCGGTTCGGTGCCCGGGAGCCCTGGCAGCAACTGAAGCGTTGCTCCGCGGTGGTGCTTTGTGACGGACAGCTCCAGCCAAAAGAAGGCACGTCCAAACTAAAGCCTCATCCTCGTCTCTTTGACACTTTATGGATGTACGGCCAACAGCTCGGGATCAGCATGTCCAGAAGAGCTCTTCATCTTCCTCCTCAGCTCCCGCAGCTTTCCTCTCAGCCACAGCTGCCATCAGCACGTCGCCTTCCCTCAGTTCCGTCACTCCGATGTCACCTGTGTGATGCCCCTCACCACGTCCCGTGGGAGATGTTGACCCGCTGTGGGTCATTTCTGGTTTAGCGACACTTTTACTGTCCCTCCCAGTAGGCATACAGATGTTCAAATCCCAGTCATCTTCCATCTTCATTACCATGGCGTTTCCTGCTACGAACAATTGTGCTCCTAGTGCCATCCAGCTTTATTAAAACTGCTACTCCCAAGAGCTGTTTTATTCTCATTATTTTGAATATTTTGCAAGTCGGCTTGCATCCATCCACCAAGTGCGAAGCTTTGCAGACAGACAAACGTGCTTTTGTTGAGGGCGTGCAGCTGTTCGGAGGCCAATGTCCCCCAGGTGTACCTGAGCCACGCTGAGAGGATGGCTGGCTTCACATCATGACAGCAACACGCGTGCCAGTGCTCCTCAGCTAAAAAAACGAGAGAACTGGGAAACAGAATCGGTGTCATCTGTCACATCTGCACCGCATCTCCGTCTGCAGTCAGCGCAGCTGCAAATTGTCACTAGTTTTCTTCATTAAAAATTAACAAGGCCGTTTCAGGGGATTTTTTGTGTTTCTGTTCGAAGAGTCGCTAACTGCGCGTTTAATCGTAACACTTGTGAACGCGTCACTGCCAAATCTCTAAACGATCACGCATTCGGTGCTGCACGAGGCCCGCTCCCTCCAGCCGGCGGCGCGCCCTGGCCCTGCTTTTAACACAGCGCTCCGCGCCGCCTCACTGCGCCTCACGAAAAAGGCGCCCCGCGCCGGGCAGCCCGCGACGCCGCCGAGGGAACGGAGCCCGCCACTGCTGTGCGCATGCGCGTGGTGGAGCGGCCGCCGCGGCGCCACTTCCGGGGCGGCACTTCCGGGTCGCGGCGCGGCCCAGCTCTTTCGCTGTCGCGGTGTTCCCCGGCCCCGGAAGCGCTGCCCGGCCCGCCGGCGGGGGGAGGCGGTGCCCGGCCCGGCACCGCGTCGCGCCGCAGCCCGTAAGTGTGGAGGGGAACGGGACCCTCGGGCGGACCGCGCGGGCCGTGCCTGGTGCCACCCGCGCTGCATCCTTTCGAGCCGCGGACCGTCACTCGTTCCATGAGGAGCCGCCCGCTGCCGCTCCTCGCACGGCCTGCCGTGCGGAGCGGAGCGGGCCAGGTCTGTGCGGGCGGGAGCGGCTTGCGTTCCGTGGCTCCGTTTTCGTGGCTGTGGGGCGAGGCTCGCGCCTGACCCTTTCCTCCCCTGCTGGTGGGGCGCGGCGCTGCGGGAGCTCGGCACTGCCCGCCCGGAGGGGCGGACGCCGGCGTGGGCTGCGGGCTCGGAGTGCGTGCACGGCCGGAATGAAATTCTCCCACTTACGCTGTTTTGGTTTTCTTACATTCAGAGTAAACCTGTTCGTAGGCTCTTTATTTGGGTTAGATTTGGAAAAATGATATCGCTGTTTGTGTATAGATTTTTACAGAAAGAATTCAAGCGGTGAAGGAGAACCTGCCTGTTCACTCGGTGTCTGTTTCACCCAGCTACGACGCGTAGCATGCTCGACTCCTGACTTCTAGCGTAACTTTACCTTTGGGGCAACAGAGAAGTTCAAGCAGTTTGTTAGGGCGAGGGGTGCATTACTCTTTCTGTATCACTGATGTTTCTAAACTGCTGGAGACTTTGAGAAGTCGATCAGTGTATGCACCTGTGAGAAGCCCTTTAGCCAAGGGGACAAGAGCATGGGGAGCAGGTTGCTTGCTGTAGGGCAGGACTGGAGCTCAGCACCTCCCCAGGGCAGGGATAGAGACACCTGGGATGTGTAGGGCTCGGGCTGCGCTATGGTCCTCTCCAGGATGGCGGGAAGCAATGTGCTGATGCCTCAGGTTGGGATGCAGAGACAGTGCTGGTCCTGGAACACAGTGTGATATTTCAGCAGCATCAGTGCTGCAACCAGTTGTCTTTTAGTGCTTTTAATTCACTGTTTTAACGCTGCACGTGCTTGAGATGCACCTTGCAGTGACTTTAATGTCTTATGTTTTGCTAGCATCAGTTCTCTGTCAGAAGGGACCAAATGAGGGTTTTCTGTTGAACAGTACCACTCACGAAGACCCCCATGTGCATTTTAATATTAATTGTGAATGTGTTGAGAAGCTTCATTAAACTGTGATACCTACCTGCTCTCTGTAAGTTCATTTTCTTGTAGAAAGCAACACGGGACTAATCTCTCTCGTTTCCTTTTAAATCAATTATTACAGAAGTGAAACAAAATTCCTTAAATGTGTTTTGGTGGCTCTTGAGGGAGAAGGACCATAAGTTTGACAAAAGAAAAGTTGAAAGCCAGAGAAAGTGAAGATTCACCTATGGCTGAACCCATAAGAATTTGTTCAGTTACATTTGTCACAAAGGCTTGATGTCCTGGGGGTGTTAGCATTTTGGTAGTCGAGGTCACATTTTTCTAGGACTCAAACTCCCTGTTTAGTTGCAAAGCTGTGTCTGGAAAACTGAAACTGGATCTGACACTGTAGCAGACACATGGAGGGGAAATACTGCCTTCAGTTAGAAATGCAGTGATACAGTTACGTAGCAGCATAAAAGCTTTGAGAGTAGGCTGCTGAGTGGGCTCCGGTAGAGGCAGGTGGGTTTTGTGCAATGGCTTGCTGCCAGGTTTCAGCTGCACGAGCTCAACTACAGGCCGACATCAGGGAGCAGCAGGCGTGTTTGATGCTGAGGCTCTCAGTGGATCCTGCAGGCTGCTGTAGGTACGGTGCAGATCAGCTCTTTGTCCTGGGCCTGGAGCATTATCTGTAGGGCTGCAGACCTCCATGTGCTTTGACACCTCTGAGTCCAGTTCAGCTCTGATGCCTCCAAACAGGCTTCACAAAGCAGCTGTGTGAGTGAAGCACAGGCAGCTCACAAGTAGTTCTGTTACTGAGTGCTTTCCATGCTCAGGAAAGCCCAGTAAGTGCTGCATCCATTCACATAAAGAAGTAGAAGGTGGCCTTAAAAAGCCTCCTTCTGTCTCTCTGTATTATACAGGCCAAAAAATGGGAAAGTGTTGAAGCTTTCTATTTTAGTCTTTGTTGTTAAAAATTGAAGTTTGTTAAAGTGTTTGGAACAGTTATGAGATCTTTAGGCTATTGAGTACTACAGTGAAGGCAGCCAGAATGGAAACTGTAATCTAACACTTGGGCAGTCTGAGCCTATGCTTTTAGCCAAGTGCCTGTAAGTAGATGTTATATTTGCCCATCCTAGGAATGTTAAAGATTAACAAGTCATCATTTGGGCAAGCGAGAGAGAAATCGTGGTTCCATGTAAAAGTGTTGCACGCTGCTGAAAGTATTTCTTGTCAGTTCTCTTTGCAAGCAGATGTGGTCAGCATCACTGGCACAGGGGCTGCTCATCCTCATTTCTGGAGTATTCATCAGGAATGAAAATAAAATGGGAATTGCAATGTGTTGTTTAAAAGGTATTCTGGATTTGTTATTTTAAAATAAATAGTCATAAGTGTGAATTCAAACAGCTGTTTGTTCTTGTTGTTACACTTTTTTTTTTTTTTTTCCTGGTTGGTAAATTCTCCTCAGCACAGGCTCTGAAATTGGGCAGTAGTGGTTCCAATGTGTTGGGCCCTCACAGTGTGGTGCTGCACATGTAACGCATGTTCAGGTAATGCTTGCTAGCCAGTATGAAGAAATAAGCCTAATCATAGACATTAAAAATTAAGCAAAGTGTTTGCACATATTTAGATTAGGCAAAAAAACAGGCAAGATGCAGCTTTTCTAAACTGTTTCTGTCCAAACCATTCAGCGCAATATCGGAATGAAAAATGACAACACTTTGTCATCTGTTCAAATTGATATTGCACTCTTTGCAGTGACAGCTGAAAAGGCCCACAGGTGCCATATAAAGAGGTGACCATGTTGTCATATTTCATTTAGGCATCCCTCTGCAAAGCCATAATTACCTAATTAGGTTGTTAATTAGGAGATTAGCATTTCACTATATTGATAGAATGCTCTTTGCAAGCATGATTCTAGTTACAGATTTGTCTGCCCTAATTTATAGTCTTTGCATTATTTTATACTTCTTTGCGTAAAATCTTGATGTGAGATAGCTCAGGTTAGCTGAGAATCCACTTGTTTGCAATTAAATGAAGATTTGACAAGATAAGGAAGCAAACAGGTAAGAATAGATTCTTCCCATATGGACTCCACCGTTCTCTCTCTCCTTCCCTAAAGCTCTGTAACTGAAACATTGGATTCAGCATAACTTGCATCCTGACCGGTTTGACAGCAAAAATGTAGGCAAGTTCTGAGCAGTTCATGCATATAGAAACAAATATCCAGTGTCAGATTGATTTTTCAGGTTAAAAAACTAACAGTGAATTTTGTCAGAATTTGTGTGTAATGTATTGTTTTCTCATAACTTTCAAATTCCCATTTCACTTGTGAAAGAGCACCTCTTTAAATGACTTAAATGATTAGTTCCTTTTTAAAGATAGGATGCAAAGCACGAATGACAGCTTCTCCAAGCAAGCATGCATTCTTAAATGCTCTTGAGCTTTTATTGAAAAATAGGCTTGAATTTTCATGTATTACATTTCACTTTCCTTTATCCTCCACATACAGGAGTCTGGCATTCAAGGGTTTTGATTATTTGTACTGCTGCAAATGTAGATAGCCAGGACCATTTATGTAGCAATCGCAGACAGAAGTTAACTGTGAAATTATTTCATATAAACTGAATCATAAATTTTGAAGTATATTCGCACTGTCCTGTTCCAGCTTGGTGCATGTAAGGAAAATCAATGTTATTCTAATCTGCTCATTTTTTTCATTAGTTTTTAAGATCTCTTTAAAGACCCGCAGCCAGAGAGTCGTGCAGCTCAGTGGATGTGGCCCAGGAGTGCTGAGGTGTAACTGTGAGATTCCTCTCGGAAGGTGCCTACAGACCCACCCTGTTCCCTCCACAAGCTGCATTTTTGTTTGGAATGGTTTTGTTTGCAGTGAGCAGGGTTTAACCCGCTGTTACTTCCCCAGGGAGACAGTCAGCTTAAACGTCTTTTCCATATGAGCTGGGTCTGTAGAATTACAAATAGGAAATATCCTTTTTCTTCTCACTCTTACTCTTTACTTTTTCAGTTTATTAATACACAAATCCTTGCAGGAACTGCTAGGAGAATGTTGTGTGGAACTTCCAGCTGCTTTCAGCCAGTTGGTCTGAAAGAGTTACTGTTGAGTTGGTAACATTTCAAAGCTCTAGCTGTTTTCTGAAGCAGAAGAGTTTCTGCTGCTTACAGCTTTCTCCAGTTTTTATCACTTATTGTAGATTTAGAGGTATAGGAAGTAAATTTGCTCACATGTGATATTTGGTATTATGAAAGGTGTAACATAGAACTTTTCTGCGAGGAAAGCATTTCCTGTGCTTTGGTCAGTGGCAGTGTGTCACAGAGAGGTGCCCTTAGCCTGCAGCTTTAGGAGCAACAGCCGTGGGGAAGTTGGCAGTGAGTAGATTGTAGCTGGCTGAGCTATAACTATGTATATTTTCTTTTCTGATCCCAGTTGGGAACCAGTTTGTGTGCTTGTGATTCATCAGGCACACGTGCCTGCTAAGACTGCCTTGTGTGAGCCAACGTGTGCGCGATGACAGGAACGTCGAGTCAAAGTCCAGCATGGAGCTGGTGCTCTTCGTGCTCAGGCAGGAGCCGGGTGTTGGCTGGTGCTCCTCAGTGCAGGAAAAGGCCGTGGGTCGTAGCTGCAGTCACTGCGCACGGCCTGTTCTGCGTAGCAGTGTGTGAGCGGCCTGCAGCTCGGCGAGGGCAGCAGTGCAGCAGCAGGGAACCAGCTGAGGGGGGCCGGAGGGGAGAGGGGCTCCCCCTGACCTGGCTCTGCATGTTGGAAACCGATGGTGATGATGCTTTCCCCTAAGTCAAGAAACCTGCATTTAGCAGTTATTTCATGCTCATGGTCAGACATGTGCATGTGCTGTGTGGGGAGATGTTTGGGGTGGGGGAAGATGGAACTGAGCAAATCTGACTTGCTCCAGAAAATGCAGCGTCCCCGACAAGCAGGAGGGCTCCCAAGAGGTGATAGATACATTGTAGCAATGAAATTTCCTCCCCAAATTCAGGTTCGTGCACCTGGAGGTGACTACAGGGCTTCTGTGTGGGACCTCATGTCCCCTCGTGGTAGCAGGGTAGCTGTTTAAATGTCGTGCTTTACTTATTTACTGAATTATGAATGAGGTTGATCTGCATAACAGCTGTGCTTTGCTTGCTGTGAAAGTCTATAGATGTTGTAAATACAGCAGTGGGTTACTAGAAGAGGAACACGTGGTAGAAGTGGTAAAAGTAGTAGTCTGCAATCCAGCTGCCTGGCTGCTCCACGCCTCCTCCGAGGGCACCCAGCAGCGCAGCTCTGCCCGAGGCCTGGCTGCACAGCGGCCGTCTGTGCTGCGTGTGCTGAGCAGCAGAGCCCTGCAGGCAGGTTGGATAACGTGTGCAGTGTGCAACAGACACTTCATAAAGATCCAGAACAGAATGAGGGTTCGTCCGTCTGCGGGATGAATCACAGGAGGTGCTTGCGGTTGGTTGTATCTCATCATCCCACCAAACTGCATGTCGTACAGAAGTGCTGTTAGGGCTGCGTAGGTTTCACGTTGCTCCTTTCATTTTTAGTGTTTGCACAGAGTAAGCTTGACAGCTGCCTGCAAAGTATTTTATTTAATAGCAGTGTAATATTTAGATACCGTGTTAAAAATAGCATTGGCTTTTTGTTGGTGTTTGAAGAAAGTATAGTTGTGGTGCTTGGAAAGTCCCAACTTCTGTTCGGTTCAGCTCTTGCCTGTGAGGTAACAGCTGTGGGTGAGAGGAATGCAGAGAGGCATGTGCTCCAAAAATTGATCTGGTATCTAATGTTGATGAAATTGATTACATGGAGGTTTAAAGGTATTCATGTAAAAGCTTGCAAAATTGAACTTTGCTTCTTTGAAGTCTTTGGTTTGCATTTCTCTGACCAGAGCTGTGCCATCTAGTTTACTTTGCTTCTCTCCAAAGGAGGAACCAGTTAGAGCTGTGTAGGTAACAAATGCTGAAGTACAGCATAAATATCTAAGTTGAATTTTGGGCGCTGTTCTTTTTTTGTTTTTTTAATAACTGTTTACATTCACTGGAATTTCTATGAATACTTAATTATTATTGAAAATAAATTTTTATGTATCCTTTTGAAAATTCTGAAGAGGAAGAAGGGAAATGCTTTTGTATTAAAGTTTGGACTTTGAAACGGAGTTTCTGGTAATTTTTCAGTGTGTCTGTTTATTAGAGAAGTGACTGCATGTTTAAAATGGTAAAGAAGCTTGGGTAATTGAGCACACTGTCTGCTAATAGCATGAAGTCGGGGTACAGAGTATAAAGGTAAAAATCTCGCATCTGCTGTTACATGTTGTTAACTCCCTTAGCAGACATTAAATCATTTCAAGTACAATAATAGTGTGGGAGGTACATTAACTAACCATTAACAATCTTATAAATACACAATTAACGTGCCAGCATTTATATGACACATTGATGGGGCAGCAGTAATTCGTGATTGGGAGTTTGTGGACCCTTTAGAAGCCTGAGGCAGTTGCTTATTTAGGCAAGTTCTTACTGCTCACAGGTAAGCATGGCTCTTTTCTGATAAGCATTGTGCTAGGAATTATATTTAAACTACATTCTCAGTGCACTTCTAGAATGTCTGCATGCTGTGCTCAGCTGTGTCTGCAGCCTTGTGGTCGCACCGCCCTGGTCATGCGGCCAGGAGGCCTTTGGCGCGTGCAGCACAGCGAGGTGGGAGGTGTTTGCCTCGGGGCCTCCTGCTTTGAGGACAGCAAGGAATCCTTCAGGGACTGCAGGCCTACTTTCTGTAATGGAAATAGTCAGAAAACGAAGAACGGAACTCGGGCTGATGTGACCCACCATGAAACCACCGTTCTTTAAGTGGATCTCAGCAAACCGCGTAACTTCGGGAACTGGAACAGAACTGAAATAATTTGCTGTACAAAACTGAATCAGATTTTGTGCATCCAAAATATGAACCTTCTCAGTCAGTATTTGGTTGCTTCTTGTTTGTGTTCTAAATGCTGTGTATGTTGTATTTCTAGGTACTGTGTCCATGAAACAAGATGGAGAGAAGATAGTATAGAGAAGTGGTGGTCTCGTGGGCAGAATGGCTTTCCTGGACAACCCAACAATTATACTTGCTCACATTCGGCAGTCACACGTGACCAGTGATGACACAGGGATGTGTGAAATGGTCCTGATAGATCACGATGTTGACCTGGAGAAGTTTAATCCCTCATCAACGTGTGGAGATAGTGCTTCAGAATCACAGGGAAGCAATGGTGAGACTCAGGGCTATGTGTATTCCCAATCAGTTGACATTACCTCAAGCTGGGACTTTGGAATTAGAAGACGATCCAACACAGGTAAGTGATCTTTGCAGCTGAAACAGTGTTAACCTTTTAAATTTAGTTTCTATTAGTATTACGTGGATGGACAGGATTGACAAATCATAGCATGACTTGTTAGCTATCTGCCAGTTTTTCCCTTCTGTGATATAGAGCCCCTCTTTGTAAAATACGTATTGTGATTCAGATACTTTGGTGTGCTGTCAGCTGAGTCTTAGTTGCTGTTTTACTTAATCATGTACAGAGGAGAGTTGAGGTAGTCAGCTTTACATATTAAAACAAATTGTAAAGACATCAGGTCTAAATCCAAAGTACGTGAACAGTCTTTGGTATTTCTATGGTTACTGTCTGGAGGGGTGTTAACTTTTGAACAGGATGGTTCTTTTCTGAGAAAAATCTACCTAGCGATGCATCAGATCTGTGTTACAAAAGAGAATAGTGGAGTTTGTGAGGCAGTGAAGTGAATGATCTGTCTATATTTTTTTTATCTTCTAAAGTCTTATATCTAAGAAAAACCTTGAGCTAGGCTTCAAGTTAGCAAATTAGGAAGTTTAAGGATGTTTACCTTTTCAAAACAGGCTCTGTTTATCTGGAGTAGAAGAAAACTGTTCCATTCATTGGTAGGAGTATTCAGACTACTTACACCCAGGGAATGCTACAAACAAAAACTACAATTTCAAATATGTATGAAAAAGCTGATGTGGGGTGGTCAGTATTGGTCTGTTTTTCTGTTATAGCCTATCCTATTTTTTCCAAATTATTTCTGAAGGTATAACACCACCTAGAGCTCAGAAAAAACATCTGTGCTCAGCCTGGAAGGTGAAATGGCAGTAAATATCTGGCAATACCTTCTACAAACCGGTTGTCAAAAGTTGTGGAAAGACAGAGTTCAGGTCTCTTTTAATTGAGTTATACTTGGAAATAAGCTGGTGGTGTGCCTGACTCAGAGGCACGGTGTAAAGTTTGTTGTGCCGGACTGCCTGAGGCTGTGCTTGAGGACTTGTTTAGCTCAGGTAAAGGTACAGTTTATGAGGAAGGAGAAGCAAAGTCTCAAGATTTACAGTATTACTCCTTTTTTGTTTTTTTTTCTCAAGTGGATTGAGGAAATAATCGGTATTTAAGTTATGGTTGAAAACTGTGCAAGTTTTCAGTTGGTGGCATATGCTAATATAATTGTTAGGAAGTTCAGTGGGAAGCCAGTTTTCTGCCTTTTTTCGTCAGATAGGTGAGTATGGAGATTTGGAGATGAGTGTTATGTGTGTCCCAGTGTTGAAGTTACCCTTTGATTTGAAGGCGATGCGCAGTGGAAGAGATGTGTGAGGGCACTGCACGTTGTGTTTGGGAAGAATAGAGGTATCCTCTGCCTATGAGATTTTCCTCCTTTTCTGCAGGCGCTGGCTGGGTCATAGGGGTCTCTGGCTCCAGGCTCTGTCCCAGTGCAGCTTAGCAGTGCCATACCCAAGAAAACAAGCATTGTGGAGTCGACCTGTGCATGGTGTTATGCCAAGGGAAAAGCAAATTTCCCTGTCAGTGTGGGAGAACTAAGGCTCCTGCAGCTGCTAATAGTTGATGAGGCAACATTTGGTCAGTGGCTTTTCTCACACAGAAAGCTTTCAAACTAAGTTGCTTGTGAGAATAAACCTTTAATAACTGGAACTTTTAATGTAGGTACTGATAATTCATCCAATTTAGAGTTGAATGGAAATCAATGTTGCAGGATTGTTTTATAGCAATCGTAGCTGGAAGAGCTGGATGGTAGAGGCTGCGTGGTGGTAGGCCTGTTCTGACCCTGACTTCGTACACTGACCTCCTGCATCCTCCTGTGGGGCACAGTGGGGCGGGCTGTCACTGCCCCATGGAGCCACGCCATCCTTGGGCAGGGGGCGCCTGCCTGTGAGTCAGAATCTGCCTCTGATGAACTGCTCACTGTGGCTACCGCACACCTTGAAAACACACATTGCTCTTATTTCTGTTCTAGGTGTTTTCCTTATTTATTATCTTTTTGCATGCAAATCTTATGGATATTTTATGATGGTTCACTTAGGCTGAAAGGGTTTCGGGTGGTGATTTTGAACCTCAGTCTGGATAATGGTTAGAGGGGGAAATAAAGGGGTTACTTTCAGAATAAAATATCCACGCTGCAACAGTGTTTTATGCAGTATTTGAACTGATGACTGGGAATATCACCTTCCTCACTCCTCACACAGCTGCACAGAAGCATTTATGCATTGGCCTCTTGCCTGTGGGAAATAGGCAGTGAAGTCTCTCTTTGTGTCTGTACCTTAAAATGCTTGCTGCAGCTTCACAGTATTGGAAGTATTTAAATATTTTTTCATCAGTGGCCAGGTTGAGAGTTGTTACGGGGAAAAATTCACTTTGGTGTCCATGGTTCTAAATGTTAAAAATAGCAATAATACCAATAGTCGAAGGCATGGGAAATACTTATTAGCCTCTTTTTTAATTGGCAAAATGGCTCAGGGATCTCAAACTGTATCTAAAAATTGTCGGGGTAGTTTAGTATTTCAGAATCCCTTCCAAAAACACGCTTTAGTTAACGAATGAGCTCAGTACATCAGAATTGCTCGTGTTTCCTTCCGTGATCAACACCAGCCGCCTCCTGTCCTGCTCCGTGCCGCTGTTGCTCCGTGGAGCTGCTCTGGGTGGCGGCTGCAGCCGCGCGGCTCCCAGCAGGGCGCTCGCGCTCGCACTCGGCGCTGACCCCCAGCCCTGCCCTGCGGGGCCGCCGCCGTTCCGCCCAGGCTCTGCTTTGGAGGCTTTTCTTCAGGCCCTGTTTTGGAGACGGAGTCAAAATATACCTAAAGAAATATTATATTCATTGTAAGGTTTGACTAATGTTGTGAAGATACAAATCATTTATTTTACTACCTATAAACTGTTCCAGCATACTGAAGAAAAAGCTATGCTAATTTATATAGCTTTGACATTTTATAATTTTCATGATTTTTAGATAAAGGATTTTATATTTAAAACTTTAATAGTCTAGTCTGAGTTCATTTATCTTTAATTTTTGAAACGGGTAGAGTAATTCATAACAGTAATTTTATTCCTGTAATGTAATATTCACTTCAGTTCATTTGTGCATTAAAATTCCTTTAAGACCGTTATTAATGATTTATATAATGAAATGTCATATTAATCACAGAAGTTTTCACATTTTATTATTCTCTTCCATGTTAATACTATCTTTATGATCTCTATTAATGTTTTATATCCTCTAATTTCAATTATAAATCAAGAACATTTTCATGTTTTTGTTGGTATTTGCTTTTCAGGGGTGCCACCTTTAAAATTTTATGACTTTTTCTCCTACATATGCAATATAAAACATCTTTATTCATATAAAGATAGTTAATTATGTCTTTGTTTATAGTAAACTTTCATTGACAAACTTATAGTTATAATATTTCTTTTCAAGCTCAGAGACTAGAACGTCTGCGGAAAGAGAGACAAAATCAAATAAAATGCAAAAATGTGCAGTGGAAAGACAGAAACACTTCTTACTCAGGTAAAAAGAAAAGACCTTCTATCTTCCTCCTGTTTTTGTTTCTGCTTTTGATGGTTATAGCATTTCAGTTCATAATTTTCACTTCAGCTTTTGAAGCGTGGAGGGAAATGCTGACGATCGTATTTGCCTTCCATTCCACAGCTCTGCACAGCCCTTGGTGTGTTGGTGGGGGGAATGCAGACCTCCCATTTGTTTTCACCTGTAACAGGGCACTGCACGTTGCTAACAAGTGCAAAACAGAGATCAGGTGTTTAAAACCTACGTGGTTTTTCTGAAGTATGTGAAGTGGCTGTTCAGTATCTTTGTGCAATGTAAGTTATTCATGCAGTTGGGGATTTCTGTTGTAATGTCATTATCTTTTGTTGTCTCAGTAAGCAAGAAAAGGGAGGAGTAAGGTTCTCAGTATTATTGTGACACGCAGTAATGGGACGTACTGTCTGTGCTGTTTGGGTAGATGATTGGCAAGTGCCTGCATTCAAACTGCAGCATAATTATCTCCATGTAAGTTATGGCTTTCCAGCTGTTTCCAGAGACATTTGGTGTGCAGAAATCTAAGAATTTCTTAGAAACGGACATCTAAGAATTTGTGATCATTTTTCTGGGTAAGGAGAAGTTGTATGTATGTATGTAATCTACTTAAACAAAAGAACAATAAATGTTGCCCTAGATTATTTCGCCTTTTCTTAGGAAAAACCAGTGTCATTAATTTCCCCAAGAACGTTTGCTGCTTTGTTATTAATATAAAGTGAAGTATTTCTGTCTTGGACATTCTACAAGGTTTGAACTGTAATGCTAGGAATGAAAAATAGCTCTGGCTATATCTATTCCTGTTGTATTTGACACACATTCAAACCACTGTGTGGTTTGTCATGCCTACTTTGTTCAAAATTTGTGTATATCTTAATGAGGTCCCCGTGTAATCTCCTTATTTTTTTGCCTAAATCTGTGTATCTTCCTGGCTGTTATTTGCAGAACCTTCTCCAGTTGTGTAATTCCTCTTTTAGAGGAGTGAACGAAGCTGCTCACATGAGCAACGCAGTTGCACTAATCCTTAGTGCAGTGTTCAGCTATGTTTGATACCTCTATTAATGCATTCTAAAATGTTTTTGCCTTTCTACTTCTGTAAGCAGAGCAGTATGTTTAAAGTTTAATCTACCATAACTTCCAGCTCTTTGCTCAATGTGTTTTTAGCATTTGATCAGTGATGACAAAGTTCTTTTTCCTTTTAATCCCTAGCTTATGCTGTTTGATATTGCTTTACACTGCATTAATCTGCATTGCAGTCGGATTCCAGTTTCCTGCTCTTCATTCTGTTTGAGTTTCCTCATTTGAATGGGCTCCACTGTGATGTTAGAATCATAGAATCACAAGGCTGGAAACGACCTATAAGGCCATCCAGTCCAACCGTCTCCTCATCGCCACCACAAGCACTAAACCACATCACACAGCACCAGTGGTCCGTTCTTCTGAGCTCCCTTGCAGATGATGGTGACCCCTCAGCCAGCGACAGGGAGGTGTCCTACGCTGTAGAACTCTGCTGGGTTTTGCATTGGTACTGCTCAGCCCCTCCTGGCTGCAGATCATATTTAAATAAAAGATACGTTATGTAAAAACTCCGGGCACTGGGCTTTGTCACTGCGATTCTTGGAGTTTCTTCACTTAATTGCATGAAGAGCAACGCAGTACTAAGAGACCAGAAAAAAGAGGAGCCCTGAAATATGTCAGCTGCATCTTCCTTTATGTCCTGTATCTGTTCCGTTCCTTGCATTTCACATTATTGATAAATATGCATGAAAGCAGTAACCATAGGTGTAGTTGCTCCACGTAGGAGGAATTTGGCTGTTCTTTTCTGCCTGTGTTTATCTGAGCTCTAGATGAAGTCAAGCTTATGGCTGACACCCTGCTGGCTAAAGGAGGCTGGAAGGTTGCTGGTTCCTACTGCTTTAGTCTGATAACATCATCTCCATAGATAACCCATCACAGAGCTGCACTGTGTAAGAGGAAAATCTTGCAAGCGTTTGCATTGCTCTGGAGGTGGATTTATAGTCATAATTTGAGGCATTAGATGAAAGATTAATATTCGGGGTTTTTTTGTTTTTTTAATTACTACGTACAGAAATAAAAGTATACTAACCAGAATAAAAGGGTGTGAGAGAGAAGTATTTTTCTCTACGGTAACAAGAAATAAGAGTATTTCTTAGTTGTCTGTTTGTCCACTGTTGTGAAATGGGCTGCTTGCCTTGTCAAAGGAATGAGGTAGAGAGAAGGTTGTAGTGATTGCAAGACTTAGAGAAGAAAGTGTCTGTGTTTGGAGCTGGTTAGGAGATCAGCAGATACAGAGGTGCCCCAGGAGAAGCTGGCTGGAAGTAAAGTGTAACACAGCTGGGGTCTTTTTGGTTGTGCCACCAATTCACATCACCTTTATTGCATCAGTGCTTTTTCAGCAAAGCGAAAGTATCGTTTCTGCTCCATGCCACGTAGATGGAAATTGCATAGAGCTGAAAAAAGCACCGTGACGCCGAGTAACAGCAAAGCTTACTTTCAGTTAAGAATTAAAAATTTCACAATTCAAGCTATCCAGTGTGGAAAATGAGGTCTTTTCCTCTGAAATTTCTCCTTGCATTTAAAAAAATGTTTTCTCCTAGATGGAAGGGAATAATTGCAAGTCTCTCAGTTGTAGTCTGCAAAAAGTTATTTTACAAAACACTTAATGAGTGATGGTGGTTTTTCAGAATCGATCTTCTTTCAGGTTTTCAAGTTGTTCTTCCTAGATGAGCCATGTTTTTTTGAAATTACAAAGATTTTTGGCAATGGTATCCCGGTCAGCTGAGTTTAGTTCCATAGAATATAGGTGTTACAGAACGTGTTTGAACTCTTCAGTCACCTGAGAAATTTGACTTGTGTGAAACCCCATCCAGAACTGAAAGCAAAATGGGCATCACTAACAAATGTGGAGTGCTTCTGGAAATTTTCTTCCTCTACATCAGCACAAAGGAAACAGCATACAAATCATCTTAACATTTCCCTAGAGACAAAACTGAAAGATACAATACTTACTTTTTCACTTGAGCCATTAAAACTGTTGTTTTGAATTCCTGGGCACAGAGTACTTTCCAAATGACTGAGAATTGTCAATTAGTGATAATACTCTAGCATAATGGTAATTGAGATTGTTTTTTCTAATAAGGTAAACTTGTTACGAAAGAGAATATCTAAAGGTGTTCAATATGGCACGTTTAAGAAGGATTTAATCTTTTTTTTTTTATTATTAATCGAAGTTCTTCACAAGGCTGCTGGGTATCTGCTAGTATTGGTGTTTAGCACCTTTGCCACTGTCTGAATTTTCAGACTGCTAAATATAAACTGTCTTCTGAGTAGCTGTAATTTGGCATGTTTTAATTTCACAGCTTAAGAAATGAATCAACTCTCTGCAGGTTGTGTCCCCAGTCAGTCTGCCTCAGGAGCTTTGTCATTCCTTTGGAGGAGCAGCACGTAAATCTTTCAGATGTGAGAGAATCCAAAAGTGTGAATGCAGAGCAGAGTCAGTGCAGGAGAACTGGTGCTGATTCTCAGGTAGTGATTGATTGAGTTTGGGGCACTTTGCTCCTAGAGCAGATGTGGAGAAAGCTTGTCCAGATTCAGTCACAGTTTCTGGCAGATGAGACCCGTTGGTACTAATATGCTAAAACACCCCAGGCTCTGTCCTGGTTTTGTGGTGTCCTTGTAATGCAAGGAGCTCCGTATTTAAAAAAATATTTTTTTTGAGTATGCCTATAACTGCTGAGTTGAACCATTGCCAGTAATTCAACTGTGCAATTCCTTCATCTGAGAAGGGACTTTATGAGACCTCACAGGTTCCACAAAGTACTCATTAACTTTTACCACCTTTGATTTAGAATGTTTCATTGTTTTCTTTTTAAATTGCCCAGACTCTTTGTCTGGAACTTTGTGTGGCCCTTTGAGAGGAGCCTGCATGCAGTCTTACCTTGAGAAGCAAAATCCAAAGAAATGATTCTTTTGAATTAGAGTAGTCCCAGCCTCCAGCTGACAGCGTAGTGACGCTATGGTACAGCAACGTGAGAGCCTAATGTCGTGTGTCACAAACTTAGTTTGAAGTGCTGTTGCATCCCTGTTGTAGATGGAGCAGTAGTTCTTCACGTGGAAAAAACAGGCAAGCAGAAAGACCAGAACTGCTTAATTCTGAGCCTTTATTTTTATCTTCCCCCAAGTGGATCTTGAGATGATGTGAGAAGAATGCATCTCCTGTTCGGCCAAGTGTTAGTGCAAACTTCTTGTATTTTTGTGTCTTTGCGTTGTAAGAGTGCTGGATCTGAGCGTTTTTTGTTTTACGCACTTCGTATTGTTCCCTCTCTCTCACATAATGCCATCTTTTTGTGGCCATCAGTAGCCTCTGTACATCTCCTAATACAAATGCTGTCTTCTCCTTTCTCATCTACAGCAGAGGAGCTGAGCTCGCTATTTGAAAAAAAGAATTTCAGAGTAAGGTCTCCCTGTTCTGGGAAGCAGTCGATTCTGTCGGTGCGACTTGAGCAGTGCCCACTACAGCTGAATAACCCCTTCAACGAGTACTCGAAATTTGATGGCAAGGTAAGTGAACCCAATATTTATTTTTCTTATATCCAAGTGGTTCCTGACCTGAAGGTGATGGGCTGTGGCAGTTCTTGCCGGTATTCACTTATTCAGACGTTAATTTGCAGTTGTTACTTCGTGAAATCTCAGTTTGGCAACATTTACATTCGCTTCTAACAGTCAAACATAGTGGAAGTAAAAATCAAGTCAGTACTTCTTTAAGGGCAAGCTATAGTTCAGTGGCGTTCCGGCCCTGTTGCTTTAACACCCGCGCCTCAGGTGGGCTCCCTGCTGCAGTTCTTTTCAGAAACTTGAAGACCTTAAGTGTGTTTCCTTCCCACATTGATAATCCCAACTACTTTTTACCATATTGATATGAATTATAGTTGACTGTAATTAACATCTTAATTTTCATGTTTGTCCGATATGTTTAGCAGGAGATTGTTCCATTTGAAGGATATTGTATTGCACAAATCAGTTTCAGGTATTAATGAAATACATCAGTGTTACTCAGTCGTGATGTGTAGTGTGTGACATGAACCAGCTTCCTTGTGATTTAGAAACCAGAACAGCTAGTGAAGTCTCCCAAATAAGGGAATTGACATTTTGCTGGTCTAAAAACGAGCTGTTTTAATTATAAGAGCACTATTCATTTTTTTCAAGCTTTTCAATAGTGTGCTTACGAAATTCATCCTCTGCACTTCCATATGTGTTACCATCTGAGTGGAGAAGAAACACAAATCTCGTTGGTGTCTGGCTCTGTGTGTCCATTTTGTTGTATCTTCAGAACTGTAAAATCAAACCGTCCAAATTTTTACATTATTTTTAATGAAATTCTGCAAGTCTTGTATTTATTTTCATTGATAGTAGATAAGCAGTACTTTTCAGATAGATGCAATTCTTTCAGGGAATAGCACATGACTTATTTGCATAATTAGCAGAGCCACGCATCTCTGGGGGAAATGGTACATAATTGGGGAGAGGCAGGAGGGATAAGGAGGGGCCAGGGGCCTAATTAAACATGTCTTTAAGAAAACCTACTTAATTATGTATTTACTCAGGAGATCACAGTGACTCTGAAATCTTTAAGGTTATAGCTGGGCCTTTGTTTCGGTCGGTCTGTTTTTTTTAATAGATGGGTATTTGAGTATTGTAATGTGTTTTCAGCTGACTGAGTAACACCTGTGATTCACTTGGAAACCTCCAGGAAAGCTATTTACTGTTGTGTGTGAGCTTTGTTTGCTTCTGTACTCATCTTAATTGTGTGCAGAATGGTTTTACCTGACAGTAATTCAGCTCCCAACTGACCTGAAGTGGTGTAAAACCATTTTATCCTGGGTCTTCCCCCTCTGCAGTTGATGTATTATTTTAAGCTAATCAGTTAAATATTAGGAAATATTGTGCACCATAACATCAACGAAGCCAATCTATTAAAATGCTTACATCTTGCAGGCGTTTTCTGCCAGATTTAGAGTCCTTTTCATAACCACTTCTGCAATTTTATGAAATAATAAAATTTTAGAGCACTCTAATTTCTTCCTGTTCTGATCAGTTCATTAATTACCAAAAAAGTAGAGAATATGGCTTGTGAAATGCAACTCCATTTCAAGCATTCTAATCAGCTCAAGAGTTCACGTGAGTCTTGTCATACAGTTCCATAGGACAGAGTTGTGGCTTTTGTGTGCTTTGTAAAACTTCAGTTCTTAGCCAGAAGATGCACTTAGTAACTATTCTTACCTTAATCTTTGAGTTTTTCCTTTATGAAGTTAATGTAAACTTAGCCTCCACAGCTGCTTGCATGGTTAGTGAATATTGTGGGGTTAATCTTGCTTAATAAACCTCACAAACTCTTGCAAAGAACATTGTATGAAAAGTAACCTTTACTTATTACTTAGGTTGTCGTTGTAGAGAAGATTACTTGAAGGCTTAAGAAATCAGTGGTCGAATTGGTTTTCTTTATCTGCATGCAAACTACATCATCATACATTTTATGCATAAGTTCTGGTATGTTGCAGTGTGCAAGATTTGAAAAATTGTATTTTCATTGCTTATTGTTCCAACTTGCTGACAACTGATAGGTTGGGAAAGTAAGACTGACTGCAAGAAAGACTTGAAAACAGTAGCCAGGCACCAAAAATGAAGCACCAACAGCATCATAATCACTCGTTTGAGTGACACAGCTGTGAGATTCACAACATTCAGCTTACCTATGGCTCCCAAAAAGAGAGGTCCCTTATTTCTAAATGTAGAAAATGGGGGTAGTATTGTCTGCTGGCTTTCACTAACTGTTGTAAAAGTATTCATTTAATAGAAATTCAGGGTATATCTTTTCAAATCATGAGTGTGGCTTGCATGAGTTGCTGGAAAGTAGGGTGATGAGACCTCTCTGAGATATTAATCTGAAAGAATCCAGATTTGGTACTATATTAATGTCAGAGCTATTCAACCATATGACTGTTCCTACTGGTAAGAAAAGAATTAGCAGGATGTATTTAGTTACTGGGATAGAAGGAAATCAGGCAAGAATCAACTATTCAGCTTCACAGGAACCTGAATGAATAACTCTTGCTAAGGCCTCTGCGTACAATTCCTGTTGAAGTAATCTTTGAAGCCATTCCACATCCATTCTTCTTCCAAGTCTGCTGCCTTTAAGAAGTTCTCATCACTGAAGTGTCTTGTCAATTCAATTTGAGATGCCTGTCACCACATGGCTGCTCTTACATCCCTAGAAGAATGCTGCCAAGCACCAAAGTGCTAAAGGACAGTCAAGAAGAAATGCTAAAGATATGCAAAATAGTTGAAGGAGAAAGTTGGAAGAAAAGAAGGGATCTTTGAGTCCCAGGCGAAGTTGATGTGCAAGGCCAAATACTAGCTGAAAATCAAGGTCTAAGGAACTCTTCTAGTTTATCTGTCTGACCTTACAGGGCCTTAGCAGGTTTACTTGACAACTGGACGGAAGTTTTGGCTGGACAGATGCTAAAAATCCTGTTGCAAGGAATGGTGTCTCTGCGCAGCATCGCGAGTTGGTTTCTTTGTGGGTAATTTTGGTGATGGGTTAAAAATCAAACAATTTTTCTTACAGCAACTGTTTCAAAAATGATGCCGTAGCAAGCATGGGGGAAGGGATAATTCATGAGTGCTAATTGCTTGGCTGTTAATTTTCATAAGTGTTGATAGAAGCAGTTCCTTAAATTAAACTTTGTTTAAAATGTATCAGGGGAAATATTCCGCAATGTCGGGCCTGAAGTGAAAATTAATATGAATGCTGTGGCAATTAACACGTACTGGTTAATAGCTTTTAGCAGCATTTTGGGATGATAGTCCTTAAATACATTTTTGCATGCTGCTCTTGTTTCAGCCTTGTTTGCATGTGTTTCTGGATAATCGCGAACAAATGTTTTCTATGATCTCCAGAATTAGTTTCCCTCCAAGAAAGTAGATAAAGAACTTAGGAAAGAGGCAATAGCGCTGTAATTAATATGGATAATATTTAAAATAATCCAGGATTAAAATCTGTGTGAACTATTTTCTATTTAAATATTCTGCCCCTGCACAGAATTTTCTTCATCTGAAACGTCTGCAATTTTTTTAAAGCATTTGCTAGTTGTGCCAGTGCTGGTGGCTTCCACACCACCTGCACGCCGTGAAATAGGTGAAATAGAGGCGTCTGCCACGTTACTATTTCTTGAGTTTTCCGCGTGTTTAGGTGAGCTGGGCCTCATCCTGCTGCCCAGCAGCACAGGGCTGCCCACGGTCCCAGCCCTGGCGTGGCACTGGGAGATGTGGGCACAGCAGGACGGGCATGGGGGCAGGCTGCCGCCAGCTGAGCTGCTTTCAGAGCCGCTCCGGGGCTGGTTGGCACCTGACAGCCATGCCTTGAGCCTGTGACTGTGTCACATTTTCCCCTCGGGGTGCTGCAACATGGTGTAAAATCTGTCACCCAGCCAGGGCAGGGAGTGCTGCCCCGCTGGCAGCGAGCATCGCAGCTTGGTGGTGCAGCCCCAGCAAGGCAGACTTTTGTAATTGTGCCTGCACAGCAGCTGTACAGAGCAACACCCATCGTGCTTCTGTGAAGTTGGAGGTTCTTAACTGAAAAATTAACGCTTTCTAATATAGATTTTCTTTCAGAATACGTGATTAGTCGTGCTACTAATTGAGTTGTATTTAAATAGAACAGCCCTACGTTAGGAATGCCAGGATTGTTCTTGATTTGTCAAAGCCAGAATGGTTCTTATGCCACTTCACCTGCCCTGCCGACGTGGGACGCGGGGCTGGTAGGCTAAGCCCTGCGCTGAGAGCAATTGCTGCCATGGAGGCCACAGCGTACAGGCCTTGGGTTTCCATACAGTACTTAAAATAGATCAAGTTCTGCTGTTGCTTAATTTAATGGAGTTCCGAAAGTGTTGTATTATTTCATATGGAAGAGCCACTGAACAGGAGGTGGGGAGATGCTGTGTAACAGCATTGGAGCAGCCCTGAGCACAGCTGTGCCTCCTGCAGGCCCAGCGCCCTGCCAGCCCCAGGGAGTGCTGGTGTTCTGCTGCCAGCTCTGCTGGGAGCATCGCTTTTATCTCCCAATTCCAGGCATCTCACTCGCACTAAAAAATGTTTTTCTGGCCTTATGGAGATTAATTTTATGTGGATTTGGTTTGATTAACCTCTGTCTCTGGGGCGCATTCAATTTGCTTATCCCTCTTCTGTACCTCACTTCCATCTTCTGCTGCCATTGATTGCAGGTGGCCTTACCTAGGCAACGTTCCTGCCCTGCAGAGAAATCCCGTATGGAAAATGGGCCTGGTTTTGTTTGTGTCTCGATGCAGTCTGAACTGACAGCAGTGAACCTGTGGCCCCGCTGGGATGCCACTTCCCGGAGCACTTTGGTTTTGGGGGCACTCTGTGTCAGGGAGGTTCGTCAGTATCGCCGCGCTTCCTATTAAACTCAAAATGAAAGTAAGTTTTGAAGGCCTGCAAACTATGCTACCATGTAACAAAGAATTAAATTGATTTGTTATGTGTGC